TGCTCGACATCTCGTATGCCGAAAAAAAAAAAAAAAAAAAAAAGAATCAAATGATGCTGATCATAGTCATTTATATGAGTCTATATACCCCCTGTCTGTATCTATGAGCCATGGTGCACATAATCACATATAATCCTAAAACTTTGTTTTAAATTTGTATAAGCAGAGAACACTCTCTATAGGCATTCTCAGACTTCATGATTTGTTAGTCATCTTTCATCATCATTCATTTAATTCTTTTGAAGCATATAAGAGTAATATTTAGTTCTTGAAAACATCTGTGTGGCTTAAAGACTTATCCCACTTCCTCTAATCCAAATTCGACTTTCAATGTTTGAATTTCTCTCAAGTATGAATTATATTTGCTTTAAATTGTACTGGGAATATCAGTCTAGAAAGACACCCAGTCTTTAAACTTAAAGCCTAGATTTATTTTAACATTTTAGAAAGGAATGACAATAGACACAGATGTCTGAACTCTAACATTGTTTCAAAATGTTGTATGAAAACATTGTGTAAGAATCCCATTGTTAGTCCTAGGAATCTTGTAAAACTAAATCCTAAAGGTAACGTCAGAAAGGAAATGTGTAATTTAAATGGCCTGATTTTTAAATAAATAAATTGTATGATTTGATAGGATTTACAATTTAAAATGAGCATTAAAGGAAAATTGGATTATGAAAAATAATAAAACTATTAAATTAATTTTAAGCATGTTAGAATGACAGAACACAAGTGCCCTGTCTCACAGGCCCTGAATGCCTGTTTTGGTTACCTAGTGCTGCTCTAACAGAAAATACCATAAGTGGGTGGTTTTAACAAACAGGGTTTTATTCTCTTACAGTTTAAGAGGCTAGAAGTCTGAGTTCAAAGTGCCAGCTCTAGGAGCTGGATGAAGGTCCCTCAACCTTAGGCTTCATCTCTGCCTCTTGCTCCTGGCCCACTGAAGCTGGAGGCTTCTCTTAACTCAGGCAGCTGCTGGCTGCTGAGGCTGACAAACCCAAGGTTGACAAGTAAAATGGCACAGTCTCAAGATTATCAAGCAACATGGCAGGCTACTAGTTCAAAGCCAGAAATAGTCCCAAGATCGGCAGGCAACAGGGCAGACTGCTGAATGAAGACTTTGCTACATGCAGGTCCCAAGTAGACCAAAAAGTTCAGAGACCTTTCTCAAAGCAGCTTCTTATTTACTAGAAACAGAACACATCCCTAGGCAGCTATTCAGCGGCTCACAGCAGATTCCACCATGGAGTTGATCACCAGTCTCATCATGGGGAATCACTACATCCAGCTGCCAGCTACTCAAAACAAGACCCAGCCAAGTTGATACCAACCTTAACTACCACAATGCCCAAACAGTTACACACCTCTCTCAAACACCCAGAAGTATCCACACTACCCAGGACACCTTCTGTGTCTCAGAACCCAAGAGGAGGCATAACTTTGAGAAAAGCCAAGATACAAATGAATGGGTGGTAATTCTGTTGTCTGCACATATGAAACATAGACTGACTGGAAGTACTGTATCTTTTCTTATCTATCAGGCCATAAGAACAGACTTCGGGTATATCATTTGACCTGGTTGAGGAACAAGATTTTAAATGATGATCCAGAAAGTAAAAGAAGACAGGAGGAAATGCTAAAGACGGAGGAAGCTTGCAAAGCCATTGATAAATTGACAGGCTGTGAACACTTCAGTGTCCGTAAGTCCCATTTCATGATTGTTATGTCCACTTGAATTTTCCTTCCTTTCATTTATTCATATTAATTTATAAAAAGCAAATTAGAGATAGGAAAGAATTTACAACTTCAAATACAAAGATGAGTGGATTTCAGCAGGACATCATCTAGGCCTTTTATACTACAGTCGTTGATGTTATTGAGAAAATGTTGATTGACTGAAACAGCTATTGAAGTTAAGTTTGGTTTTCTCTCTCACCTTTCTTCCCTTCCTAGACACTCTAGATATTGCAGATAAACTGATATTTTTTCCTTATGCCTAGATCATTTCAACTATATCAATGTTCTTGACATAGCAATCTGCAAGGAGATTTCACAAAATATTCTCTTTCTTTGAAACGGCAATAAAATGTAATTCATTTTCCATCAATAAATCTCTCTTAATACCGACTAAAAAAATCTTCACAAGTCAAAAACAAAATTCTCCTATGATCTGCTCTCACTGTTAATGTTCATCAGTATAATTGCCAGATAGCTCTTGTCTGATTAGCTTGTTTTCATATGTCCTGTCTCTTCACAATCATCCACTGTGAAATAGAGTAACATCTCCAGGGTCTTAGAATCTTGAACTCAGCTGTCAGAAACTTGGAATGAATGTCATCTCATTCTGTACTATTCTTGAAGTAAATCCTTTTTACTTTCAGCCTTCTTTTTCTTCTTCCCCTCTTCACTAATTGCCCCCTCAAGCAGAAGTAGTGACATGTGTGAGAGATAGCTGGAATCCCTTTATATGAATTGCAACAGGATATTTCCATCCTGACTTGTCATTTCCATTTCTACATATTAAGTGGCTTTTCCAGGATGGGTACACCACACACACACACACACACACACACACACACACACACCATTAAAGGAAGAATTTAGATACTCAGATAATTTAGGCATTAAATAAACACACTACTTTCCTCTGGTTTTAAGTATCACTATTTCCCTCCAAGTCAGATAATGTAAATTTGGAAGCCACAGACATGAAAGATACCCTACCCCACATGTTACAGCAGGAATTTCTATAACAGAACTGCCTCCTATTTACTTGTAGATTATTAGTTCAGTAAGAGATCATTACAAATGTACTCATCTTACAAATCTATGTTATTGGTAAGAGGATAGACTAGGTCAGTTTTTCTAGCTGATGCCATACCAATCCCACCCAGCTCTTAATAACCAAAAGCATTTGTCCTACTAATAGGTGGAAGAGTAGCATCTTTACACAGAACACCAATGTACTCATACACTGTATAGTACTTTCATAGCTTTATAAGATCCCCAAAATAATATACTGACACCAATTACCACCTTATATTAATTTTATAACAAGCATTTGCTTTACCAAGAATTCCTCTGATTTTGGGGGGGTTAATTGCCCGTATTCCTTTGGCCTACTTGGGAACATTACAAAAGGCAGTGAAAGAATAGCCTCTGATTGACAAAGAAAGACTTGTGTATTGGTCTAAGACGAGGACCAGCTAGTGAGGACAGAAGCAGTATCTCAAGCAAGGAAGAGGGATTTTAACACAAGGTACAGGTCTAGCAGTTAAAATGGCAAATTTCGTAAGAGTCAGAAGGGCTAACTGACAACAATATACCATAGGTCAAGCTGGTAAGAACTTAAGTCCAAGGAAGTCACACAAGAAGAGGCTTAGAGAGGGTATGCTCAAAATCAAAGGGAAAGTAGCACTATCTGGTCTTGTTATTGTTGTTGTTGTTATGTGCCGTCGAGTCGGCCCTGACTCATAGCGACCCCTCCTTGGGTTTCTGAGGCAGTAGCACTACAGAAGTAGGATTGCCCAACCTTCCTTCCGAGGCGTGGCTGGTGGTTCTTTTTTGGAGACACTGACAGACAGAAGTAGTGGCTAATGGTGCATAGAGGTGGGCAGGCTAGATTGAAATCAGCCACTCACTACCTATGTGACTTGGCACGCTATTAGTTAATATCTTTTTGTTTTCTCTCTTTTTAAAAATGACTTTATTGAGATATAATTTACATACCATAAAACACACCCATTCAACTTATACAATTCAATAGCTGTAGTATATTTAGAGTTGTACAGCCATCACCAATATCTCATTTTGATCACCCCCAAAAGAATCCCCACATCTATTACCAGTTACTCCTCATTCTATGTCTCTTCCTTCCACATTCCTAGAAAGCCACTGATTGACTTTATGGATTTATAGATGCAAAAAAACCAAACCAAATTCACTTCTGTCAAGTTGGATCTGACTCATAGCAACCCGTCCTTGGGTTTCTGAGGCGGTATCACTACGGAAATAGATTGCTCAACCTTCCTTCTGAGGAGTGGCTGGTAGATTTGAACTGCCAGCCTTCTGGTTAGCAGTCAAATTCCTTAGGCACTACACCACCAGAGCTCCTATCCAGCCATAGGTTAATATTTATTACTGATAATGCAGTATTGTGCATGAAAACGTGTTTATCTTTGTTGTCTGTACCTTTTGTGCACCTCTCTGTGTCTTCCTTTTCCTGAGTGTTATTGTGTTTGTCACTTGCTTATGGTATCTTGCCTTTCTATTCACCCAAATCAATACTTGTCTCTTACCTACCTAGCAATTTCCCCCTTTCTCCTCTCCCATCCCTGGTAACCAACAAAGAAAGTTTCCTTCCATATGTAAACCTTTCCCTGACTTTTTTTACAATAGTGAACTAATACAATATTTGTCATTCTGTAATTGACTCATTTTACTCAGCATAATGTGCTCCAAGTTTATCCACATTATGAGGTGTTTCACGGATTCTACATTAATCTTTAGTGTTGCATAGCATTCCGTTGTGTGTATGCACCATAGTTTGGTCATCCACTCCTCCGTGGGTGAGCAGCATAATGTGTTTTTTTCCCAAAGGTTCATCCATGTTGTAGTATGTATCAGTACTCCATTCTTTTTATGGCTGAATAATATCCCAATGTATAAATACACCACTTTTGTTTAACCATTCATCAGTTTTTGGCCATTTGCACCTTTTCCATTTTTTGAATATTATGAGTAATGCTGCTGTGAACATTATTATATGTCTCTGTGGACATGTATGTCTTTTTTTCTCTCAGGTACAATTACCAGACTGTTTTTCCAAAAGGCAGTATGTTGCATTCCTATCAGCAATGTATAAGGGTTCCATTCTCTCCACAACCTTCCCAATATTTGTTATTGTGTCTTTCATTAGCCATCCTAGTGAGTGTAAAGTGATTTGTCATTGTGGTTTTGATTTGCTTTTCCCTAATGACTATTGATGCTGAGGATCTTTTCATGTACTTACTGACCATGTGTTCTTTGTACAGGTGTCTATTGAAGTCTTTTGCTCATTTTTTGATTGAATAATGTGTCTTATTATTATTGAATTGGGAGAATTCTTTATATATTCTGGATACAAGTCACTTGTCAGATATATGATTTATAATTAACCTCTTTGTTCATCAGTTACCTTTGCTGCAAAATGTAGAAAATAGTAACTTGTAAGGCAATTATGATGATTAAATGAGTTAAATTTGTATAATACTTAGAATAGTATTAAAATAGTTGCACTAGTATTTAATTTTCCCTTCTTAATGTTGTATGGGTGTATATATATAACTTTGATTATTCATGCATTGATTATCTGTTTTATGGCTCATTCTGGCTATCCATAATGTTTTTAGTTTGTATATAAATGTACAAAATATCATTTCCATGGAAATTAAAGTGTTACCAATATTAATAAAGAGAGAAGGAAACACCAATATTGTATAGTATAACGAGATACTCTTAAATCCTTAAAGTTCATGTAACAGTCTACAAGGGTAAGATGATTAGAAATATCAGAACTGGCAGATGTTGCCAGTACTTTTAGATTGAATCCTAGTTACACTTTACAACCTAGCTTGGGTTTCCCAATATGTTAAATAAAGAAAGAAGAAGAAGAAAGAAAGGAAAGGAAGAAACTGTATATTAATGTATTTATATTGGTTGTAAATTGATCCATGTGTTTTGGGAAAATGAAATAGAAAAAGGGCAGGGAAGAGATGTTATTGGAATTTTGTTCCTTCCTTAGAGTGCTTTTAGTTTTAATTGAAGTATAATTCACATAACATAAAATTGGCAAGCCAAAATGTACAATTCGGTGGCATTTAGTACATTCACAATGTTGTGTAACAATCACTTCTATCTGGTTCCAAGACATTTTCATCACCCCAAAGCAGAAACCGTGCCTATTAAGCAGTCACTACCTGTTCCTCTTCCTCTAGCCCCTGAAAACCACTAACCTGTTTTCTGTCTCCCTGGGTTTACCTATTCTGGATATTTAATATAAGTAGAATCACTTGTCTGACTTCTTCACTTACTATAATGTTTAAGAGGTTTATCCACATTGTAGCATGTATCAATACTTCATTCCTTTTATGGCTGAATCATAGTCCATTGTATGGATAGAAGTCATTTTGTTTATCCATTAATCAGATAATGGACATTTGGACTGCTTCCACCTTTTGGTTATTGTGAATAGTGCTGTTGTGAACATGCCTGTGCAAGTATTTATTTGAATATCTGTTTTCAGTTCTTTTGAGTATCTACCTAGGAAAGGAATTGCTGGGTTATATGGTAATTTCATGTTTAACTTTTGAAGATAGACATCGTGTTTTTTGAAAGAAACTTTATGGATGACGCTGCTTGCCTGTTGGCCAGATGATGCTACTAGGTCTGGGCCCAGATTTGGTTTAGAGCAGTATATTTAACTTTTTGAGGAACTTCCAAACAGTTTTCAACAGCAGCTGAATAATTTCACATTCCCACCAGCAATGGACAAGAGTTCCAATCTCTCCACATCCTCTTCAACACTTGTTACTTTCCCTTTTTTTTTTCTCTCCATTATAGTCATCCTGGTAGTTATCTCAGTGTTGTTTTTATTTGTATTTCCCTAATCACTAATAGGGAGCTCTGGGGGCCTAGTGCCTAAGGCATTTGCCTGCTAACCAAAAGGCTGGGGGTTCAAATCCACCAGCCACTCCTCAGAAGGAAGGTTGGGCAATCTACTTCCATAGTGATACTGCCTCTGAAACCCAAGGAGCGGTCACTATGAGTCAGATCCGACTCGACGGCAGTGAGTTTAGTTTGGTTTGAATCACTAATAATGTTGAGCATCTTTCATGTGCTTGTTGGCCATTTGCTATCTTCTTTGGGGAAATGTCTATTCATGCCCTTCACCCATTTTTTCTGTAACATAATATTTTCTATTTGAATCATTTTTAGTATACAATTCAGTGATGTTGCTTATATTCACAATGTGCAGCCATCACCATTATTTGTTTCTAAGACTTTCTCATCACCCCAACCTTCGTTTCGTTTTTAATTGGGTTGTTTGTCTTTTTGGTTGTTGAGTTGTAGATGTTTTTAATATATTCTAGATGTTAAATCTTTATCAGATACATTATCTGTAAATATTTTCTCCCATTTTGTAGATTGTCTTTTAATTTTCTTGATAATGTCCTTTGATGTATAAAAGTTTTTAATTTTTAACAATATTCTGTTGGTACTTGTCTAAGATCATGAAAAATTGCCCTTTTGTTTTCTTCACAGACTTTTATAATTTTAGCCCTTATATGTAGGTCTTTAATACATTTTGAGTTAACTTTTGCGTGTTATGTGAAGTAGGGGTCCAATTTCATTCTTTTACATGTAACCATCCACTTGTCCCAGCACCATTTGTTGGAGACTATTCTTTCCCCATTGATTACTCTTAGCACCCTTGTCAAAAATCAATTCCTCATAAATGTATATCTGAACTCTCAATTCCATTTCATTGACCTATGTGTCTATCCTTATGACTGGTGACTATAGATTTATAGTAAGTTGTGAGATAAAGAAGTCCTTCAGCATTTTCTTTTTCAAGACTATTTTGGTTATTCTGAATCCCTTGGAATTCCATATGACTTTCAAGATCAGCTTTTCCATTTCAACAAAAACTTTGCTGACATTTTGATAAGGATTGCTTTGAATCTGTAGATGTCTTTGGGTAGTATTGTCATCTTAACAATTTTAAATCTTCCAATTCATGAACATGGAATGCTTTTCCATTTGTTTGGAGCTTCTTTAATTTCTTTCAAGCAATGTTTCGTAGTTCTCTGTGTATAGTTTAGAGTGTTTTGAAGTAAGTACTAAAACTATAAATTTTGTCACCTTTTCTTTTTTTTGGACATCAAGTTTTAATCCAGTAGCTTTTCTAAAAATATATGTTTCTGTGCTATTACATTGCAGTATGGCATTTTCAATGGCAAATACAAATATTTGAGTATTCTTATTAACTCCACAGAATTGTTACTTCTTTATATTTTATCATTGTAGTTCAACATGAAGAAACAACTTATATTGCAATTGCTTTGAAATCATCAATTCACCTTTATGTGTGGGCACCAAAGTCCTTTGATGAAAGTACTGCCATTAAAGTGAGTGATCTCCTTTTCATTTGGATTATAGAGTTTTTCTTTTCCTAGGAAATTATGAACAGAGCACTGTTTTGAAATATGAGTGCAAAAATATGCACTACTCTTCTATAATAAAAGTAATTTGTATATACCATGTCAATATTTCTTGTTTAACCCTTTTTTAGACAATTCACAGACACCATAACAAGATAGAGTATGAGGGAAATCCCTGACCTCTCCCTTCCCACCAGCTCTTCACTTCTAATAACTGTGGTCAACATGAAGACACTCTCTCCTAGAGCCCCAAACACAGGCTTTGTGAGCCACCAGAATGGCTTGAAACTGAGAAAGACTCTATTCTTTCTTAGTGGGGGGTGGGTAGCAGAAGTAAGAAAGAAGTAATAAGTAAGTAAGAAAGAAAGAAAGAAGTAAGAAAGATGCAGCAATGAGAGAGAGGACTCCCATGGAGGAGGAATGAGGGAAAAGGAAGCCCTTTATCCAATTTGCAGAGCTACAGGAGATAAGAGTGGGGAGAAAAGGAGTAAGTCTATATTCCTTCCAAGCTGGATCTCTAAAAACATTTGTCTCTAGAAACGTGGTTAAGTTTATTTAGATTGGTATTATTTTCACCTTTGTTTCTATGGATCAATCTCAGTAGCTAATGATTTTTTTAATCATATTCCATAAACTGGGAACTATTTTTATCTGGTGTAGCTCACTTATAATACACCAAAATTAAAGCCATTCCACTCAAATAAGATTATTTTGCATTCTATAGTAATAAGGATAGATCAATAAATTGGTGGCTTCGTAGAGTCCAGTAGCTCCTAACTTAAGCTGTACACCAGAATCACCTGGAGCATTTGCTGAAAATTCAGATCTCAGACCCAACCTCAGGTTGAATTAGTAGGTCTGGAGTGGGGCCTGGGAATCGATATTTTTTAACAAATGCCCAGTTGATTTTGAACTAGCTGGGCCAATTATTTACAAAGTACTGATAAGGATACATCCTGATAGATCCCAGCAAGGTATGCATGAACTATTTTTGTACCTTAGGTCGGGATCTGTTTGCATGGATTATTTTATAGGCCAAGACATCATATGTATACAATCAAGATGGCATAATACTTATGACTATCTCTAAATGTCCATTTGCACAATAAATAAGTAGCATAAATTACTATATAGACAATCTTCCCTGACACAGATCGCATCCCTGATCTGATCTCCCTAAATTGAGCCTTGGATTAGTTGTCAGTATTTGGATATGGGTTTGTTCTTGGGGGTCTGCTGATTGGTCAGAGCTGCCTGGTATGGAGCTGGAAAGCAAAGAGTTAAGTATCAATCTTCTGTCTAGCCTGATACACAGTTCCTGTTCCAAGTTCTCACTTCAGTTCTTGAATCCCAGTTCATGACTGCAGTATGATGAATCCCACGACATTCAGTCCTTTACTGTGACCTTCTTTAGCAATGAATCCTGTTTTGGCCATTAGGAACCACAGGAGCCTAAAGTACTTCCATTCTGTGGTAGGTTAATATGTCTGACCTTTTTCATTCCCTACCAAGTATGCATTGATCAGTCAGCAGACTCTGAAGGAGACTACATGTCCTATGAAGCCTATATACGAATACTGGCAAAAATACAGGCAGCTGATCCAGTGAACCGGTTTAAGAGACCAGATGAGCTCCTTCATCTGCTGAAGCTCAAGGCAAGGAATTTAAAGACAACAAACACAGTGCAGGGCCATGCAAGGCTCTTATGATCATTGGCACTTTGCTCTTTGGAGGGAAACTCAAGATTTATAATCTGAAAATAAATATGTCATTTTAGCAATAACTACCCTAAGAGAAGTTATAGGTCTTTATATAAATAGTGTCATTTTTTTAAATAAATCTGAATTTTAAAAACATGTTAAGCAAATAGTGGGAGAGTGTTTGTCTTAGTCAAAGTGTCATTTTTGGCCTTTGGGCCATATTTCATTTTATATTTGCAGGTATTTCCAACACTTGGTCATAAGCCAGTGACAGTTGACCTGGCTATTGGTTCTGAAAAAAGACTAAAGATTTTCTTCAGCTCAGCAGATGGATACCACATTATTGATGCAGAATCTGAGGCTATGTCTGATGTGACCCTACCCAATAACGTAAGATAATACCTTCAGATCCCTAGAAATTATTAGTTCACTAGAGTTTTTTCAACTGTCAAGACCCTTAATAGTTTAAAAATATGTTTAGCAATACACATTTGGGAACTGAGACCAAAAAGGTAAGTTTAGAATGTCAACAATTAGTCATGGATAAACAGATATTGCTGATGGTTTTGTAGTCCAGACAATTGAGTCTATACTATAGATAGATTTTTTTTTTGTCTAGAAAAGTATATTTTGTTGGTTTTTAATTAAATAAATTTACACTTTTTTTTAAATTTTAAAGCTCTGACATCAGTTCCACATTTCTATCTGGCCAATATCAACTGGAACTGATTTGTACTTGCCCCCTTTTACATGGGATGTATGCCCTACGTTCCTGATCTATCCACATTTATGGATTTACAATAACTAGTCCTTGTTGGGTATTTGAATCTGGGATCCTTACTTCAGTTCTTGTGCACCTTGATAATGCATCAACAGATTCTTTAAGAATACAACGTGAGTATTTAAATTTGGAGCATTATCGTTTTAATCCCTCATCTTTATCCTTATTGTGTTACCTTAACTGCTTTGTATAACAAACTATCATGGTGTTCTCTTATAGTATCAATTACAGTTGGGATTTCTGGTCAAAAGATTCAGTATTTTAAAAGCCAATGTACCTCAGCTCTTAACCTCTAAAATAATTATATTGGAAATATGTCCCAACACCTAAAAAATGAATAGTTATAAAAATACAACACATATCATGTATATAAAAAGCACCAAAGTAGCATACTACAAACATACACACACACACCCCATATAAAATATAATACCACTGCATCTCAAATTTGATGGTAGCAATGATGTTTGTATTATTGAAAATTATTTTTGAAAGGAAGGGCTGGACCAACAACATTTCTCTGTTTCACCCTTTCTTAATTCCCTAATTCATAGACATCTAAAATTTTAATTGTTTAGCATTGCATACAAAGTGCAGGAGAAAACTCTTGTGTATTTTTAAATCACTGTGCTGTCACAAAGAACCCTGGTGTGGCAATGATTAAAGCACTCAACTGCTAATTGAAAGGTCTACAGTTCGAACCCACCAGCTGCTTAGCAAGAGGAAGATGTGGCAGTCTGCTTCCATAAAATTACAGCCTTGCAGACCTTTTGGGGCAGTTCTACTCTGTCCTGCAGGGTCACTATGTGTTAGAATCAACTCGATGGCAATGGGTTTGGGATTATTGTCATTGTTAGCTGCTATCAAGTTGGCTCTGACTTGTGTTGACCTTACATATAACATAATGAAAAGTTGCCTAGTCCTGGGCCATCTTCATGGTCATTGGTATCAAGTCACTGTAACTGTGTGGTGTGTTCAACAGATTTCAGAATTTCTCATACATCTCTGAGAAATTACAGAGAACAATTGTCAGATCGTGAGTGGGGACATTTTTTAAGTGTTATGGTCATATTAGCAATCTCATTAGTTGATCATTCAGTTGTCACTTATGAGTATATAGAAATCACCTTGATAATGCAGAAAATACTGAACGAAACCCAGCCAAACTACTGAAATATAAGGTCATGTTATTTTTGAGATAAATATTATAGTACTCTTTGAATCGGTGTGTTATTCATAGCTTTTTTTTTATGTTGTATCAAATACTGTTGATTTAAAAGTGAGTACAGTACTGAACAGTAGTGGTCCAAGTTTACATTTGTTTGGAAAGCCATTCAAGAAAGCTGAGCCCTGTGTGCCACTTGGATGCTAAGTAAGGAGAATGATTTCCTTGTAAAGCAATCATTAGTTAATTAATGTAGAAGCTAGAATGAGATGAGTTTCTTCAGCATTATTTTCTGACCTAATTAAGATACCTTATGTATATTCAAAAATTATATTTTTAGCTAAATACCCTAGTGTCTTGACCCATCAAAAGAGAAAGGACTCTAATACAAGGGATGAGAGGCTGTCATCAGAAACAGAACATACTAAAAATAATATTTTCCCCAAGAGTGCTAGATTACAAAAGCCAAAAGCTGTAATGGTACAAGGGAGCTAAAGAATAATTGGTTCCTTCAGAAATCACCTGAGAACTAAGAGAATTATCTCTGAAGTCTTCTGGATTTTCATCAGTCCCGCCTGTTTTATTCTGTGCAGATTTGATTAAGACAACCTTCGTTCTTCCATTCTTTTCTCTTTTCATCTCTTTCCTGATTCAATTGCTCATGCGAGTGCCCAGGCAACGCATTAAAATTGCTTTTCGCCTCTGGATTCCAGTTTTAGTTTTAAGGATAGTAGTTGCTGAGACATGGCCTCAAGTACTTGGCCTGAATATGCTCAGTTTGGCAAGTATAGTTTCTGACTTTTTTTTTTTCCCTGTAACTTTCTAATCTCGAGAAGTGATAGAGTAACATAAATGTTCTTTGGTTAGGGAAATACTGTTAATGTGACAGTATGTGTTAATGTGACAATATCTGTAGGTTGAAACAAATTTTGGCACACAGTATTTTATGCAGCTTGGAAATTAGGAAGGCTTAGATATTTCTTTATATCTTATATTGTCACCTAATAAGCCTCTGACTTTTATAAATTCCTTGGCTTTTATGAATCATAGTCCTTTGTGTTGTTGAATGTATTTAAAGATCTTATAAACTAGATAAGAAATCATACCTTTTGGGGTGAGGAGGGAAAGTGACTGTTAAATCAAGCAGTGAAGAGTATTAGCTGCCTTTTTTAAACATTTTAAGCTCAAGATATTTTTAAATTAATTTTCTATGTCTGATTTGAATGAATTGGCCGATACTCTGTTATTGTTATTGGTTCACACGTTCATTACTAGTGCTCATAAATGTGCTGAAATGAATCTTAAATTCAACTCCATGCAAGTAATATTTCTTCTATTATTATGCATAACACTGACATTTCAGCAAATTTTTCTGTGTTGGAAATACATCTGGACTTGTTTCAAGAAGGGATTTCTTGTAGATGTAAAGGAATAATACACAGTGACTACTTAATGCCATAGGAAGGCTCTTTTCAAGTTTTGGATGGCATGTAGGTTAATTTTGAAATAGAGATTTTTTTTTTTCTCCTCCTTTCCCTGTACTTGGAACCTCTTTTGGGTCTTTATTGCTCAGTCAAGCTACTTCAATTAAAGTAATAGTGATAAAATGTTGGACATATAAATCTTTATGAAACATAATTCCAGCCCCTGGAAATCATTATACCACAGAATATCATCATTCTACCTGATTGCTTGGGAATTGGCATGATGCTCACCTTCAATGCTGAAGCGCTTTCTTTGGAAGCAAATGAACAACTCTTCAAGAAGATCCTTGAAGTATGGAAAGACATACCATCTTCTGTGGGTATGTATAACATTTCTTAGTATCTTAGAGGATCTCAGAACAGCTTTTCAAGGATAAAAAATAAAATAAAAATAAAAGGTTGCTTCTAATATCACATTTTCCCAAAGAACCTAGGGTTACATTTGTGATCCTGCATACCTGTTCCCTTAGGAAGATGATGTGTGTGTTTGTCATCTGCTTAATGCATTCCCAGGAATACCACCAAGAAGCTGCTTTAAGTTATCTGATATGTCGATCACTTGAAGTAGTTATGTAATTGCAACAGGAGCTAATTCGATTCCACAACAATCTATGCTTTTACTGTAACTCCCTTTGCTTGCAGACTTTACCCAGATGTTGAAAATGCTTCTTTCCATCACATTGATTTTTGGGCTATACACTTACCTTAAGAAATTGCCAAATTATCATTAAAAAGAAAAAAAGTGTTTCTATTTCTCGTAGTCAGTAGTGTTCTGTTTAGTGACTTATACTCCTGTGAAGAATTAAATACAAACTGAATATGTGATATATTAATTGCCACTAGAATGTCATCATTCCTCATTTAGAAAAGAGATAGATAATGACTGACTGAAATACTTATTAGATACCACCCAGCTGGCAAAGTTAAGAAAACTGCCTTTTCAATCTTCATCAGACAAGGACTTCTTTTTTTCCTTCCTAACCAATGCAGGGCTGCTGAGCTGGGAAATCAGAATAATTATTGTGTATGTCTCTGAGGCCTGGTAACTATTGTAGATAGATAAATGAATACATACGAGAATTAGAAATATTAGAGAAGGCAGAAATATTTAATAAACCAAAAAAAAAAAAAAAAAAAAAAAAAACTCACTGCTATGCAGTCGGATCCAACTCTTAGCAACCTTTCCTTGGGTTTCTGAGGTGGTATCTCTATGGAAGTAGATTGCCCAGTGTTCCTTCTGAGGAGTAGCTGGTGGGTTTGAACCACCAGCTTCTGGTTAGCAGTCAAATGCCTTAGGCACTATGCCACCAGAGCTCCCAATAGGAGGAGGAATTTAACGGAGTAAATGATTTGGTTACTTCGTGCTGCTCTAACAGAAATACCACAAGTGGGTGGTTTTAGCAAATTTTATTCTCTTACAATTTTGGAGGCTAGAAGTTCAAGTTCAAAGTGCCAGGCTCTAGGGCCTGGGTGAAAGCCCCTCGACCTTGGGCTTCAGGTCTGCCTCTTGTTCCTGGCCCATTGAAGCTGGAGGCTTTCTTTACTCCGGCAGTGACAAGGACAACAAGTAAAAAGGCACAATCCCAATATTACCAAACCATACAGCAGGCCATTGATTCAAGTCCATTAAGAGTCCCAAGATCTGCAGACAACATGACGGGCTACTTAATGACTGGGCTACATGCAGGATTCAAGCATTCCAAAAGCTGCAGACCAGTCCCCAAACTTCTCCTTATATACTGGAAGCAGACCACATCCCTAAGGCAGCTACTCAGCTGTTGCAATAGATTCCACCATGCAGTTGATTACTGGTCTCATTGCAAAGAGTCACTACATCCAGCTGCCCAGCCATACAAAACCAGGCCCAGCCAAGCTGACACATAACCTTAACTACCACAATAAATAAAAGGATGAGAGAGAGAAGAAAGAGGAGGAGAAGAAATAGTAGTCTATCAATAAAGAACCCAGAAGCTTCTGGAATCTGTATAAAATTGCTACATGTGATTCTCATGTGGCTTTAATGACCAGTTTGAAAGAACTGCCTTTTAATGGATGTTTTCATTACAGAATAATGGCACTTAATTTTGCATCTGTAGAATCTATTCTTTTCACATATATAGTGTTAAGGATTGTCCTGAAAACCTGTTCCATTTTCTCTCAACAGGTAAGAACTCACAGAGGGTTTCTAACTGTTTTAATTGACAGAAGGCAAATGCTAGCAACATAATTGACGGATCTGGGGCAAAAGGAACTAAAAATAAAGAATATTTTTCTGATCTTTACAGTGGTCCTTTTGTGATCAGTGTGTTAATCAGAAATGGGAATAAGGAAATTTGATTCAAGTGAGAAGTTGAACAAGCCCCTATATTTCTACCACTAGACAATCATAGAAACCAAAGAAATCTTGAAAAGTCATCTGGCATGGCTCCTGTCCTTTGGACACCTCTGACCTAAAAAAAAAAAAAAACTTATTTAATTTTCTAAAAATTGAAAGCCATCTCTTTATGTAAAATAAATTATAGTACTATAAGAATATGCAGGGAGCTCTGGTAGCATAGTGCTTACAGCACTTGACTGCTAACCAGAAGGTTGGCGGTTCAAACCCACCAGCCACTCCTCAGAAAGAAGATAGGGCAATCTACTTCCATAGTGATACTGCCTCGGAAACTCAAGGAGGGGTTGCTATGAGTCGAGTCCAACTCGAAGGCACATAACAACAACATAAGAATATGCTATTTTGCTCGATGTATTAACAGTGTTTGAGAATATACTTGACTACAGTGTAATGCTAATATATAAGAATCACTCTATTTTTCTGTCTAGATTTTTTTAAATTATTTAAAACTAAAGCAGATCCAAATGTCCCTAATCTTAAATTTCATACTTCCTCGAACTATAATAAATATTTTCAATAATAGGATAATTGCTTTAGATTTCCAAACAAATGTTTAAAGGTACAATAATCATAGCACGTATGACTAAGTGCCCAGTCTCAGAAAGCAAGGTGGCCCACACAGCTACTCAGTAGCTAGTTTAAGTGGTGACTTTATGTTTCAAATATTTCAAAAGACTTTCATTTCAAGACTAAGGTGGAAATTTTGGGATGCCATATCAATTGTGTCCACCACTCATCTGTCAGTTTACCATACAGTGGTGGCTTGCATGCTGCTGTGAGGCTGGAGGCTATGCCACCAGTATTTCAAATACTAGCAGGGCCACCCATGGTGGACAGTTTTCAGCAGAGCTTCCAGACTAAGACAGACTCGGAAGAAGGAAGGGGCCATCCATTTCTCAAAGAACTGGCCTTATGGATAGCAGTGAAATGTGGTCTGATATATTACTGGAAAACTATGAATAGCTCTGAAATATTGTCCAATATACTGCCAGAAATGGGCCCCTCAGGTCCGATGTTCTTGTTATGTGCTGTTGAGTCCTCTCCGACAGCACTTTATGTACGATATGTATGATAGCAACCTTATGTACAAAAGAACAAAACACTACCCAGCTCTGTGTCAGCCTCACAATCCCTACTATACCTGAGCCCATTGCTGCAGCTACCATGTCAATCCATCTCATTGATGGCCTTCTCCTCTTTCATTGACCCTCCACTTTACCAAGCATGACATCCTTCTCCAGAGAATGGTCCCTTCTGACAACATGGCCAAATTAGGTGAGACAAAGTCTGGCCATTCTCTCTTACAAGGAGCATTTTTGGCTGCACTTCTTCCAGGACAGATCTGTCAATTCTTTCATCAGTCC